GTCACAACAGCTCACAGCTGCCGCTAGCTAACACCAGCTAACAGTAGCTATGACCAGCTACAAGCTAACAGACGCTAACAGTAGCTAATTTATAAAAGCTTTTAGCTGGTGTTAACTAGCAGCGGCTATTAGCTGTTAATAGCAATTAGCGTCTGTTAGCTAGTAGCTGCTACTAGATGCTTTTAGGAGCTCTTAGCTGGCGTTAGCTACTGTAAACTGGTGTTAGTTACCGGCTGCTGTTAAGAGCTCAGAAATCTCAGCTTTTCCTGCTTTTTTACAGTTTATTTTGACTAATTATTTCTTTATAATTCATTCATTTTTCAATCTCTCTTCTAGAAGTCATGTGTTTTCTTGCTATGTGTAATTATCTGCAGTATTTATTAAGGAGTTATCGTAGGTTTTTGGAACCAATTCTAGGAATTACAGAGTATTCTGATGAAAGATTTGAACAAACACACCAATATTTAACACAGAAGTTGCTCCTGGAACCAGTTAGACTCTGTTATAGAGGTTCTGCTGGATTTATCTATATTTTTTATCTTTTTTCCAGTCCAAAACTCCAAACTTTTGGGTTTTGAGCCCTTTAGATGCTGGTTTAGCTCCTGGGGGGCTGTTTTTTTTATTTTATTTCATGTTTATTTAGGGGAAATGTAACAGGATTCTTTCTTTTCTAATTCATATTTCAAATTATTATTTTCAAATTATTCAAATTATTTTAAAAAATAGATAAATTCAAAGCTTCCCAAACTCCCAAAGACAGTGAAAACTTTTACATTAACATTACATTTACATTCATTATTTTGGAACCAATTCTAGGAATTACAGTGTATTCTGATGGAAGATTTGAACCAGCATACCAATATTTAACATAGAAGTCACTCCTGGAACCAGTTAGACTCTGTTATAGGGGTTTTACTTTAAATGCTGCTTTATTAAGCGGCTCCTCGCACAAAAAAACTGAAAATCACTGTTAAAAAATCTGCTTTTTAGGTCTTTAGATTACGGGGAAATCATTGTTGTGTTCAAAGAGTTAAGAAATCTCAGCTTTTCCTGCTTTTGTCCTGTTTTTTCCCAATTACTTATGACTTATCGTAGGTTTTTGGAACCAATTCTAGGAATTACAGTGTACTCTGATGGAAGATTTGAACCAACATACCAATATTTAACACAGAAGTCGCTCCTGGAACCAGTTAGACTCTGT